TGAATATTTATCATTTGTAATTTATAATTCGCTTCATTTCTATGATATTTTATTCTATTTTCTATTCATTTCATCAAATAAATAATAATCCTATTGACGTATAAATTATTTGTTACTTAATAATCCATATTAAAAAATTTCTTAAAGAAGAAAAAATGACTGACCATCCTCTTAAAAATAAATTTTAGTTTAACTCACAATAAAACAAGCAACTAATAAAATAATAAAGAAACAATGCACTTACGTTGTAATGAAATAAAGATAGTCTCAAAGTATTTTAAAGATATTAATGATCTTATTAATTTAGAAATGGGAGTTAAAAGATTTAGAGGAAATATGGAACGATTTCATTTTAATCCAATTCCATTGAATCAACATTCAAGAAAATTGTTTCCTAATATTGAAACATTTCATATTTATAATAAAGAAAATGAAATATTTGAAGATGGAAGAATAATTAAACAAATAATATGGTATGATGTGAGTTATTCAAGATATTTAGAAGAGAAAAAAGAAATGAATGAATGTAAAAATATCGAATATACAGAAGAAGATAGAAATAAATATGGAAATACAATACCAATAGAAGTTAAATCACTTGGAAATAGATGTTTTAGATGGTGTGGTGATATTAACACCAATTAATATACCAACAAATGTAAATGAATTAGGAAATGGATGTTTTTATGAATGTTCATCATTAACATCAATTAATATACCACCAAGTGTTGGTAAAATAGGAGATGAATGTTTTAATGAATGTACATCATTAACGGCAACGAAAAAAAGCAAATAATTGAAAAAGAAGAGAATGAATGATATAAAAGAATAAAAAGAAAGTAAGAAGTAGAATATGATGAAGAAAGAATAAAAGTAGAAAGGAGAGAATATAAAAAGAAAGAAGATAAAGTGTAATAAAACAAAAGAGATGATAAAAGAAGAAAAGAAAGAAAAAAAATAAAGGATGCAAATTTTATTGAAACAAATAAAAAAAGCGCAAAATTTAATGATGCAAAATTTAATGATGCAAAATATTTAGCAACATTTTTATGGATGCAAAATATTTTGAAATAAAAATAAATCATCATTTGATATTATTATATTTGATAATAAATTATATTATATATTAAATACATCATATTTCTTTATTATTTATTATTTCTTTTTATTATTTCATATATTACATTATTATTCATTCATTCATTATTTATATTTCATTTATTAAATAAAATGAAAATGAAATTGTAAAATATCAATCAATTAAATATTCATGAATAATAATTTATTAATATTTAATAATTGAAATAACAAATAATAATGTAACAATAATGATATATTCAATATATTCTTTATTTGATTTGTTCAATATTAGATTATTCTATTTCATTATCATTTCATTGTCTTCATTATTTCATTTATTATTTGTTTTAAAATCAAATAAACAATAATATTGATATTCATTCATCATATTTATTTAATATAATAAATATACACAACATTTCAGAATAAATAATAAATAATTAAGAATGAAAATATTGAATTATTCAATATTTTATTCAACATAAATTCAATAAAACATATATTTAGATAATACACAAATGAAATAATAAAGAAATATACAATACTCAAGAACTAATAAAAAGAAATAAAAAGAATGAATGAAAATAAAATTGATAAATAATAGAAGAAAGAAATAGAAAAACAACGAAAAACAAATAATATAAAAAGAATATAAATATATAAAAGAATAAAAATAAAGTAGAAGAAGAATATAAAAATAATAAATCACAAAGAGATGATAAAAGAAGAAATAAAAAGTGTATTTTTTATTGTAAAAATTAGAAATATTCAATAAAAGTGTCTAATTTAATGATTCAAAATAATTAATATTATTTTATTAATGAAAAATATTTTACTCTTTTTTATGTTTATTATTTATATGTATAATTTAAACATGATGTTTATTATATATTCAATCATATGTGTTATGTTATTATAATATATAATAAAATATAAAATATAAATGAAAATGATATGAATATATGATATAGAATATAAAAGAAAGGAATAATAAGAATAAATGATAAATAAAACGAGAAATGATAATAAATGATATAATAATAAAATCAAAGTATAAAAGATAAATTAATATTAATATAAATAAAAACAGAATAAATATAAATTGAAAATAGATATAAATGATAATAATATAAAAATGATAAAGATGAATATTCAAATAATAAAATACATTTAAATAGAAAAGAATAACAATAATAAAATCTAAAGAATAT